CGAATCCATAAATTTTCGGATTTGGTGAATCGCTGCAGAATTTATGAGGAGGATAATAAGGCTCACTACAAAGATGTAATTGAGAAAAGAGGTAGGCAACAAAAGAATCATGGGAAGCCTTACAATGATACAAATGACAAAGGCATACAGAGGGTTACTGATGGCAGAATAACCAGTGGGGGAGGTGCTCCTGCTGACATTGTGTGTTACAGATGCGGGAAGCTAGGTCATTGAAGTAATGCATGTATTGGAGAAGTGAAGAGGTGTTTTTGATATGGTAAGGCTGGGCATGAGGTAGCTGACGGAAGACACAAGGCAATGATATGTTTCAACTGTGGTGAAGAAGGACACATAAGTACCTAGTACCAGAAACCGAAGAAAGCTCAAAAAGTTTTTCCTTTAGCTGGAACTCAGGCATCCAGTGGAGACCATTTGATTAAAGGTATTTGCTTCATTAATAGTACTCCTTTAATTACTATTATTTATACTGGTGCTATACATTGTTTTATTGCTTCTGATTATGTTAAAAAGTTGGGTCTCGAGTTATCCTCTATGAATGGAGAAATGGTTATCGAAATTCTAGCTAAGGGATCAGTGAATACTTCTTTAGTATGGTTGAAGTGTCCTTTATCCATCTATGACATAGACTTCCTTGTTGATCTAGTTTGTTTACCGCTGAGTGGTCTAGATGTAATTTTGGGTATGAACTGGTTGGAACATAATTACGTTCATATTAACTGTTACAATAAACATGTGCGGTTTTCTACTCCTGATGAGGATGAGGAAGAATGATTCTTATCTGCTATACAGTTGAAGGAATTAATGCAAGATGAAGCTCTAGTGTTTTCATTAATGGCGTACTTATCTGTTGAGAATCAGGCTGCTATAGATAAGTTGTAAGTAGTGCGTGAATTTCTGAAAGTTTTCCCAGATAACATTACAGACGTGTCGCCAGCAAGGGGAGTGGAATTTTCTATTGATCTTGTTCCGGGTACCGAACCTGTTTCTATGGCACCCTATCGAATGTCAGCGTTTGAATTAGTAGAATTGAAGAAACAACTGGAGTAATTACTTGAAAATAAATTTATTAGACCAAGTGTATCACCTTGGGGAGCTCCTGTGTTACTGGTGAAAAAGAAGGATAGTAGTATGAGACTCTGTGTGGACTACCGACAATTGAACAAAGTGGCGATCAAAAACAAGTATCCACTTCCGAGGATATATGATTTGATGGATAAATTGGTAGATGCATGCGTGTTTAGCAAGATTGACTTGAGGTCAGGATATCACCAAATTCGAGTAATGGGTGAGGATACTCAGAAGGCAGCTTTCCGGACTCGATATGAACATTATGAATATTCAGTGATGCCTTTTGGTGTCACTAACGCACCAGGTGTGTTTATGGAGTATATGAACCGTATCTTTCATACTTATTTGGATTGGTTTATGGTAGTATTCATCAATGATATCTTAATATATTTCAAATCAGAAGAAGAACATGCTGAGCATTTGCGAATTGTGCTGCAAGTGTTAAAGGAAAAGAAGATATGCAAAGTTATTTAAGTGTGAGTTTTGGTTAAAGAAAGTCAGTTTCCTTGGTCATGTTATTTTAGGTGGTGGAGTCACGGTAGACCCGTTCAAGGTAGATGCAGTATTACAGTGGGAGACTCCAAAGTCAGTTGCAGAATTCATAAGCTTTTTGGGAATGGCTGGCTATTATAGGAGGTTTATCGAAGGTTTTTCTAAGTTAGCACTTTCACTAAATCAGTTTACTTGTAATGGTAAGGCATTTATATGGGACATCTAATGCAAATAAAGTTTTATTTAGTTGAAGAAGAGATTGACGACAGCTCCGATTTTGATATTACCTAATCCTGAAGAATCATTTGTTGTATATTGTGATGCTTCTAAATTGGGTTTAGGTGGTGTACTCATGCAGAATGATAAAGTAGTGGCATACGCGTCAAGACAATTGAGGATTCATGAAAGGAATTATCCTACTCATGATCTGGAATTAGCTGCAGTAGTATTTGTACTAAATATTTGGAGGCATTACCTTTATGGTTCTCGATTTGAAGTGTTTAGTGATCATAAAAGCTTAAAATATTTGTTTGATCAAAAGGAATTGCATATGAGACATTGTAGGTGGTTAGAAATGTTAAAAGATTACGACTTTGGTTTAAACTATCACCCCGGGTAAAGCTAATGTCGTGGCTGATGCTTTAAGTCGGAAGTCATTGCATATGTCTGCCATGATGGTTAGAGAATTAGAGTTGATCGAACAATTTAGAGACATGAGCTTAGTATGTGAAGTGACACTGTAAAGTCTGATGTTGGGAATGTTGAAGATCAAAAATGACTTCATGAATGATATTAAAGAAGCTCAGAAGTTGGATGTCAAATTGGTAGATTTGATGATTATGAGTAATTAGTCTGAGAATGGCGACTTTAAAATAGGTATGCATGGTGTGTTGAAGTTCCGAGACAGGATTTGCATTCCTGATAATGTAGAAATGAAAAAGATGATCCTTAAAGAAAGTCATAGGAGTAGATTGAGTATCCATCCAGGTGAGACTAAGATGTATCAAGACTTAAGGAAGTTGTTTTGGTGGCCAGGATTGAAATGTGATGTGGTGCAGTTCGTGTATGCATGTTTGACTTGCCAGAAGTCGAACATCAAAAACCTGAAGGGCTATTGGAACCGTTAGATATTCCAGAATGGAAATGGGACAGTATATCCATGGACTTTGTGATGGGATTGCCAAGCATTCTAAAAGGACATGATGCAATTTGGGTGATTATGGATAGGCTAACGAAGTCAGTTCATTTCATTCCAATCGATATCAGTTTCTCAGTGTTAAGGTTAGCATATATTTATATTTGTGTGATTCTGAAGTTACACGATCTTCCGTCAAGTGTTGTATCCGATAGAGACCCAAGGTTTACTTCTGATTTTTGTAAGTCTACAGGATGCATTAGGTTCTAAACTGAGATTGAGTTCTGCGTATCACCCGCAAACTGATGGTCAAACAGAGAGGACTATTCAGTCGTTAGAGGATTTATTGAGAGCTTGTGTTCTTGAGCAATGAGGTACATGGGATATTTATCTTCAACCGATTGAGTTCACTTATAATAATAGTTTTCATTCCAGTATTGGTATGGCACCTTTTGAGGAATTGTATGGTCGGAGGTGCAGAACACCTTTGTGTTGGTATGAATCTGGTGAAAGTGTGATGCTTGGACCTGAAATTGTACGAGAGAATACAGAAAGTGAAGTTGATCTGAGAAAAGATGAAAGCTTCGTAGAGTAGACAAAAGAGTTACCATGACAAGCGGGGGAAGGACCTTGAATTTCAAGAAGGAGATCATGTCTTTTTGAGAGTCAACCCAGTGACTGGTGTTGGACGAGCGTTGAAATTGAAGAAGCTGACTCCTCGGACTATTGGCCCATATCAAATTTCAGATAAAGTGGGAACTGTTCCGTGTAGGATGGCCTTACCACCTAATCTTTCAAATTTGCATGATGTGTTCCATATGTTGCAACTTCGGAAGTATATTGCGGATCCATCTTATGTGATTCTGATGGATGAGGTACAAGTGCGGGATAATCTTACTGTTGATACTATACTTGTGAGAATTGAGGATCATGAGACAAAAAAAATAA